AGAAAGAGGACGGTTTAGGACAAAAGGCTGTCTTGTAGGAGCAGACTGCAGCACTAAATCACCATTCACACAAACAGAAATAATTAGTCATAATACAGACATCAGCCAAGAGGGAGTCATCTACATGATAAAACATAGCAGTCTGGTGTTTTTCTATCACGTGCATGAACTCTATTTTCATCAGCAGACTTTGGCCAATGCTACTCTGTATTTTTGTTTGGATGTGATCCCAAAACTTGTCTGCCAACTAGAAGATGGAGCGAAACCTTGTCTTGACAGGCTACCATCAGCCAAAACTAACCTACGGTGATCTCCAAACCATCTGATGAAGACAGCGTCTGGTTTGCTTAATGCATGCTACACATTTAGTACGTTGGAACACGTTATTTCCCAATCTTCTTTGATACCTGATACTGAGACATGCAGGGCCATGCTCTGACCCTGCAGTTGCATTTTGCTATAGACACCCAACACCCTAGTCTTTAATCCTGCCATGCGGCCTTGTTGGGGGAGGTGACTGCAAGGAATTTTATGACTGGGAAACTCATGACCCACTGGGGATTAATAATCATGCAGGGAGGGGCTTTAACAGCTTGTTGAACCCCTTTTTCTAAGGTTTCATCTCTGTATGTCTTGAAGTGGGATTACAATCATGCACAACAATGCAGAGTGCAGCAAAATTGAGCAATTTATTCTATTCATCAATATAAGCAAACAGGTTAGACCAGGAGTGAGAACTTGTTTATAATTTGCCGCATGCAGCCCGGTTTCATCTGAAGTGCGCTGGAACAGTAAGGCTATTGCCCAACAAGCTATTAAAAAACCTGCTTCCCTTAATTTAAGTGCTAACATGTAAAATGTGTTTAACTACACATACAGTCCCTGGGATATCTTTCAAAAGATGAAGCAGGTGTTTAGCAATATGTCTCAGTTTTTCCACATTATGAAGAAATGCTGCAGTAGCAGCTCTGGGCTTACACTGTGGGAAAAAATTACTTTATTTACTAAAAAAGCAAAATAAATTATCAGTAAATTCACAGATTTTTTTTACTGTGTAACAAATAAACATTCTACATTTTTCAAATTAGTGGGCCAGATTAGTTCATTTGGTGGGCAGGTTCTGGACCGCAGGCCGTATGTTTATCAAAAAGGACCCCTAAAGTAGAACCTTTGTGCCACTGTGACCACTGCAAGAGCAGTGAGTACAAATGCAGTTTAGACTAAATACATGAAAGCACTTACATAAAAGTGCTTTACACAACATTCACCCACTCATACTATCACTTTTTTCTACATTTATGTGCTTTCTATCTAACATTCACACTTATGTGAATGAGTCAGTGAAAAAGGGGCAACTCAGACTTTAGTATATTGCCCAAGGATACTTTGGTATGCAGACTGGAGTGCCAGGGATCAAACCACCAACCTCTGGTTAGTTGATGATCTGCTTTACTTCTACGGCACATATAAAGGAACTGTCTAAACAAGTCAGAAACTGAACTGTGAGATTTCAGAAAGATGCGAGACATCACAAATGAAGCAGTAAGACACAACTATGTAAAACACAAACTATCAGCTATCCTTGAAAACAGCCACACACGCATTTCTTGATTTATGTAACCTTGCACTGAAGAGATGAATTCTCAGGCACAACAGAGGTCAATTTGTGCAGCGTCCACAAGGAAACCAGAGCTCAGGGCACAGATTAAATATTGTAAGATATGATGAAAAAGAGATTGATGAACAGCACAAGGTAAATTTTCGAAAAATGATAAATATCCCACTCAAATAATCACAGAAGAAGAAATTTTCAAAGAAGATAAAAAGTGACTGACAATTGGGGCAGCTGGGGCAGGAGGTAGGGCTGGTCATCTAATAACCAGAAGGTGGTTTTATCCCTGGCGTCTGTGGTTTGCATGCTGAAGCATCCTTGGGCAACATACTAAACACCGAGCTGCCCCTGACATTTCCATCTAAGTGTGAGTGTGTGTGTGAATGTTAGGCAAAATGGTTAGGCACAGAAAAAAAAGTTCTTGTAGAAATGTGTGTGTGAAAGGGTGAATGAACCTTGTAGGAAGAATGAAATAGAAAACCACTATAGAAGTGCAGTATTTACTATACTTACCATATTTACTATGGAGCAGCATTTTAAAGTAGTTAGTAGAGAAGGAAAACCCATCCAGCAAAGGCCAGCTGTCAAAAAACAAGGCGGTCGAAACAAATGTACAATTTTAGAAAATTGTACAGAGCTGAGCTGTAATTTTGTATAATAAACATACATCTACAATCCATAAACTGAAGTCAGTTTCATCAAATAAAATGAACACTAAACAATATAAAAGGCATAATAATATTCCACATGACGAATAAACAGGGAAAAGGGCAAATTTAAAATGGATTTAAAATCGGATAAACTATGTTAACCGTGTACATGTGACTGCATTACAGAAGTGTCACGGCAGATTTGTGTCAGCTTGGAGGCGTTGGGACTGCAGCTGCAGAGTAAGTTGTGGCTCAGTGTGGGTGGCAGCTATCTGGCCACTGGGGCGGTGTGTTTATGTGTGCTGGGGTTAGAGCCACGTGCACAGTGGAGGCATAGACACTAACGCACTAGCATACACACACACATACACATCCATGCAAACAGAAAAACCACAGAGACTCTATTGATTCCGGCTAATCGAGGCGGCGGTGTGTTGGGGGTTGCCGCGCATGCATGTGTGTGTGAAGTCAACACATTCCCCACATTCCAGCACTTCCCAAAGAGGCACCAAAATATTAACCACTACACGAAACTCAGAAACTCGGCCTCATCCTACTGCAGGGGTTCTCCTGCTCTTTAACTTGACTGCCCTTCCTTCTGACTTTGCACCCTGGCTGTAGTTTCAACAGCAGTTTTTTCCCTTCTTTTTAAAGAAATTCCACCCACAAGATGACCATGCAGTGACTTCTGGCTGAATCACGCAGACAGCACAATGGCTCCACATATTTATGTCTGGTTGAGACTGATCCTTCTCAACTGGTAATACAACAAAATCTGACCTCGCCCATGAAGGTTTAACCGATTGCATGTGTGCAATGCATTAATTGAATGCACGCCCTCATGACACGAGAGCCTCTGAAGAACTGCTCACCAGCTGGCTACACTGACTGGAAAATATACACGATGATCATCATAATTGTATTTATATTGTTGATAGCTTTTTTTTCTTTTTCTTTTTTTGCAAAGTTGTTTCACTAATGTATAATCAAACACTTTTTGATTTAAGCCATCCCGTGGAACTTTGCACCCTAGCCTGATATTGGTTAATCTGTGATTTTTTTCCCCTTTAATTAAATGTTTAGCTTTTAAAGGATAAGAAACAATGTGTACTAGAAAGAAAGAAAGAAAGAAAGAAAGAAAGAAAGAAAGAAAGAAAGAATATATTCCAAATTATACAAACTCTGAAAATATCCTCATAAAACACAGGATGTGTACAGCCAGCCTGGTATAGATACTTATATGAAATTTATATGAAAGGGTACACAGCACAGCAGTCATGTAGAGATATAAGTGTGCGTAGGAAACACCTGAACACTCTGTTTGTTACCTGAAATGAAAATGCCGTTTGGCCTGGGAAAAAGGAGAGAGGGTTCTTTTGAGACCCAGTGAAGGACCCAGCAGTCAAATAATACCCACTTACCCTCCTCTTCCTTTTGCTCCTCTAACTCCATGGCTCCTGGTCTTAAAGCCAGAGCAAAAAAATGTTCACAGTAAGGAATCATTACCATAGAAACTCTGTTTGCATTTCCCAGTGAGCAATTCCAGGACCTCTGGCTTTTTAGCTGGAATCCAGACATTCATTTCAATGGGCAGTGCTGTCTGGAAAAGCTATTGTCCGTGTGGGGCACCTTACTGAAAGACATTCTAGGTGCATTTCCGTTTAAAGTGAAAAGTCAGACAAAAGGAGCCTTGGCCATGAACTGGATGTCATCTCAACAGGCTTGGCTCACAGGCTGCATCAGCTGGTGCTGCACAGCTACAAGTTCCAATATTCTGATTCTTCGTGTTTTATTTAGAGGTGATGAAAATGAAAGGTTTTCATTTAAATGTGGAGCCTGAGCCGAGTTGTGCACGTCATTCAAAATTAGCGTGGTTGGAGAGCGCGACTTTATGCTGCGTGGCCCGTCACAGGGTTGTATTCAGGTTTGTCTTCAGTCGTCTCTCCCATACTAGACTGCTGCGCTGGAACAAAGGGGCCTTTCACATCGACCTTGACACACAGCCACCCCATCACCACAGGAACCAGTGCAGAGGAATCCACCCCAACTCTCTGATATCAATCTCTCTGTACCCCTGGCAGAGTGTCTTAGCTCAAGGCTGAGGTGAAGAAGCTAATGCACATCATATGACTGTGTTTTCATTCCAATGGAGAATCAGGTGAAAATGAAACTCTTTTTAACATCTTTGTGAATTGTTTGAGCTACTTTGACCCACCAGGTTTCTTTAAAATTGCAGCATTTAGGCTTAGAGCACTATGGTGTCCCTAAATTAGGTTCATTATGGCCAAAATGATTGAATATTATCAATGAGTATTATTTTCTAATAATTTGGTTTATAACGTTTAAAGATTAGATATTGATACACTTCTTAAAAGAGGTCTTTACTATTTTGTTTTCTCAAATGTTGCTTTGCTTTTCATTCCTTTGTGTTTTGTATTTGTTTTGTACCTCCAGGCCACCATAGTTTTATCTAAAATATAAAATTAGAAATAAAAGCTTAAGTTAAATCATGAGTCAACAAAGTAGTTAAATAATTATCTTCCGATTACTAATACTTTTGTCTAAAATCTGCCACAACACCCACTTTAATACACACACACACACCCCTTTGCACATCAGTATACATGAGTAGTATGCAAACATCACACATGCAAGCATGCACATGGGAATAAAAGTTTTTATTCTTCTCAATGGCAAAAAAAAAAAACCAAACAAACAAAAAAAACTTTTTGGTTTCTTTTTTTTTTAACAATTGTACAACCTGAAAAAAATAACTCAGGTTTTAAACTGCAATAAGTTTTTAAACAAAATAAGAGTCTTTCATTTTATACATCTGTCATAGGAAATAAATTCAGAACTGTACATCAAGTTTTTTTTGTTTTTGTTTTGATTTTGAACAAAGCACACAGAGCTTCAAAATGTACAATATTCATTCACATTTTATACACATAAAAACCAAATGGGGTCTGCTACATTTAAAACTTTGCGATTCCTCGTGCGTGAGAAAGGCGGTCTGAACACATTCCACGTTGCATCACCGGCGTTCGGCTAGCACGCTGCTTGGCAACATCCAGCAGCTCCAGCCATTGTCTCCAAAGAGTCACGGCGCAGCAGGAGAGGAGAGGGGCTCTGGGCCACTGGGCCAGTCTCCTCAGTTACTGAGGGCTTGTTCCATCTCCAAATGTGGGCAGATGACCTGCTCAGTTAGTGTCCACGTGACAGGGGTTGGTGCCCTGCTGCTGTGCCTCATGATACAACCGCAGGAAGTCTTTGTAGCGTGGGGCGCAGCCCATCCAGGCTTCCCCAAACCTCACGGCCCCAGTGAACAAAAACTCCCCCTCACCGGACCTCACCCCACACTGAAGGGGCATTTTGATACGGCCAGTCCAGCTCCGTACCCTCACACCCCCAGATACAAAGACCTGGGTTTTCTGTCTGTAAAGGTGACTGATCTCCACAGTGACAGATGAGTGCTCCTCCTCCTGATCCACCTTCCTAATGTTGCCTCGTGCCACTGGAAAAATCGAGCAGGAAGATGGAATTTAGAGACTGGTAACAGCAATATTTCAAACTGTGTGTTGTATTGGACATCGACGCCAACCATGCAGCAGCAGGAAGCAGGAAGCCTATAGTTCTTCAAAACAGCACTTACCAAAGTCACTTGTGCAGACAGCTAGAAGCACTTCAGTGTCACTGCAGGGCTGACAGGACGCTATGTGGAAATAAAGAAAGAGGGTGGATGAGTTCAGAGAAAAATGGTGTGCAAATAAAACAAATTTTTAAAAAAAATGCATGTGGCGTGATAAAAATCGTGTTAACAGGCCCACAGATTTCCAGTAAACACACATCTGTGGCTGTGTTTTAATAAGTGTTCCTCACATACAGACAATTAGGATCACAGTCATTTCCATCCTGACAAATGAATATTTATTTAGAAATGAGAGACCAGGATTCAGCTGAGCTCAGAGTTATACACCAGACAGAGGCACGCTGCTGATAGTACGCACAACTCAAAAAGCTAAGTGTGTGTGCATGTCTAATACTCCTGGGAGCTGTTCAGTCAGCTTCCCTTGCCAAAACAGGAACCCCTTGACACCCCATGACAAACAAGGACCAGATGACGGGTATAAGAACAGTAAAACTAGTAGAGGTTACATCTGACCTGAGCTCTCACAGCACTCCAGCAGGCCTACTTAGACTGCAACTATAACATCAAGGGGGGCTTACAACGAAAGCCCGCATTCAGAAGAAGGAAACAGAGAATAGATTTTGCCTGTTTCGTGCACATCTTGCATTACACAGGCACAGGACAATTAAAGTGTAGGTAATTTAGTTTCCAAAAAGAAAATGTGAATTAAATACAATAGCCCACATCAATTATTTAAAAGTCTGCTCCAGGCACCATTTCACCTTTGATTGGGGTCTGCATAGCAGCAACTCAGCCTGCCCCCTCCTTCAGACTGTTTTATAGCAGTAGAAAGGGCCCTTAATGAGAGCAGTCAACTCTGTGATTAGTTGACTCAGGTGGTCCTGTGGCTGTCCTAACCAGAATGCCTTTATTAATCCCTAGACCTGCTTTGGTTTTCCTTAGTAGTACTCTGAAGCAGGTGGGGATAGGAGGAGGAGGAGTGGGAGCAAAAAGAGGACTGTCTAGTCAGCAGTGGGTTGAGGGTGAGGAAGGAGCAGTCGTCTGACCACAAAATAAGTGAAAGAATGTTTAAAAAATGTTAACTCAGGTGGGCCCGGTGCACTGGAAAGCACCCTAATATGCACAACCAGTCATAAAACTGAGCATAAATATTAATTTGGTGTGTGCAATACATCTAATAAGACTTCTTGCCAAAGCGGTGATGTTCACCCTTGGTCATATTTAGGAGCGCAGCTTAACCTTATTTTTAGCTTTTAGCTGGCTTGTCTGACGATGGGTGTACAGAGGTGAGGGATCTTTGAGGTCAGCTAGTGTAGCAACACAAGGCACTGCGACATCACTAAAGAGGGCTCAAGGGTCAAACAGCCACAAGCTTGGATGGCTTAGTAGCAGCTGGAGAGCCAAGACTTCAGAGAGGCCAACCTCACCCAGAGCAGAGGTCTTTTTTTTTTTTCCTGTTTTTCTCCAAGGAAGTCAAACATGAAATAGAACCGCAGGAATGGGCTGAGAACCGAGTCAGCATCTCTTTCTGGCCCTCTGCACATGCAGCGCCACTCTGATCAGAACCACTTCACAGGAGCACAGAGGGATGAGGGATGGGAGGAGTGGCAAAGGAGGGAGTGGAGGGGCACATTAGAGTGTCCCTGAAACATCTGGGACCAGATGCATTCCACTGTAATGGAGCACAACTTGCTAATACCGCTCAGCAGAGACAAAACCCACTTCAAACGACTAGGAAGGGGGGAAGGGGGGACGAAAAGGAAAAATACGAGAATGATAAATAGGCAAGAAAGAAAATTAAGAAGTAGGAAATAGTGAGACTGAGGACAGGAAAAGGGAGAATAAGTCAAGCGAGCTGAAAGGGAGGTTAAGGGAGTGACAGCAAGGGAAATACAAGCCTATATGGTCCTAGAAGTTCCTCCCAACATCTGGTTGGAGATGCATTCCAATTTGATGGTGAGCAACTCAATCCCAGCACAGTAGGTCAGAGAGAAGAGGAAAGGAAGAAACAAGAAAAAGGAGGAGGAGGAGCAGCAGCAATCAATCTGTGACTCCAGGCTTCAGATGACACGAGACCAATGTCTTTGTGAATCATCCCAGTGCTATCTCAGGCCACATTACAGCAGCAGATTATACTACAGAGCTGAGCCGAGCGAGCTAATGCGGTCAAAACAACTCCTACTCTACGTTTAACCCTCTCTCTGTCTGTTTCTGTCTGCTGTGCCAGATAATGACGCAGGATGTGAATATGTGAACCCAGAGAGCCGTAAAAACAGATGTGGGCCTGATACTGCTCATATTTTGCTTTAGGTGGAAGAGAAGGGAAAAAAAACATAGCTGCACAGCTTGAAAATGTGCAGGTTTGGCAGGTACGCAGCGTGAAAATACACGGCTGTTTTTCCGTTGGAGGCCCTCTGTTTGACTGTGCCCCTCCACACACAAGCCAGGCAAAAAAAAAGAAGAAAAAAAGAAAACAATAGAGGCTTACAGTGTGATGTTCAAGTCAAATCAAGTCAGAATGTTTGTAAAATGAGCCGAGAGGTGAACGTTTTATCCCGAAAAACTAAAGTTTAAAAGCCGATTTTGACCTTTTAATCCTCACGGTGAAAATATGAGTTTGACAAGAAAAATCCCCCCCCCCAAAAAAAGGAACCTTAATGTAAACACAATGCTACTAGAAAAAAAAAGTCTTTGGCTGTAGTATTTGCAGTGTGCTGGAGCAGATTTTTAAGTTTCCTACTATTAGAGTCCAACTTAATAAAAGTTTCCACCAGTAGATGGCTGCATTTAGTGCTCGGTGCGCACCACAGGGGCAGAGCACAAAGGAACTCAGTTCTAGAGGGAATCTAAAGTAAGGCTTTTATAGGAGCTACACAGATCAAAGAGGAAGCAGTTTTCAGGGGTATCACTAAAGATGTCAAAGATGCGTCTTACCAACAAGCAAGTGTGGCCCCGCCTTGTGCCTGTCGCTGACCAGCTCGTACTGGAACGCCGTAATCCGCCGACTGATGTCCATGTGGGGGACAGCCTCAATAAAGAGCGCCCCTTCCTGAATGCCGAAGCAGTGCACTTTGCCCTGAGCCTGGTCCTGTTCAGCCAGCAGTAACCTCAGCTTGCCGTTGCGGTCCAGGTAGATGTTGGTGCCGCTGGACTCGGCGGAGGGTTTAATGCAGACAGAGAGCCGAGCGGCGGCGGGAGAGACCATGTTGGGTCGGAGGTTGACGATGATGGCCCCTGTGGGATAAAGCCACTCCAGAGAGCCTTGGGAGCAACGTAGGTACACCTGCTCCACATCCCTGGTGTGGCCTTCATGGGTCAGACCGCTGGATAAAGAAAGGAAAAAAGGCACAACATATCAAACAAGCTGCAATAAAAGTGGCATTTCTCTGGAAAGCTTTAATTTTTTCAACCCCCCTTTACCCAAATAAAGAATAAAGAGACTTATTCACTAATCTAAAAATGATTTTGGGGGCATTTATAGCCTGAATTAACTGACCGAGTTGAAGACCTCTGGCAGACCCAAAGGACATTAAACCACATTCCTCCTGAAGCATTATTAAGGCCGTGCGCAAGACTGGCTGCATGACCAGTCACGAGCCGGAGCAGCCAAAATGACCTCAGCTCCCAACACACACTCCCCGTACTGCATTGTTCCGCCCAGCGCTTTGGCAAAACGCACCACTGGCAAGCTGCCTTTGGGAAGGGTTTGGAGGCAGAAATGGATGAATGGAGGGACACAGGGGCTTCTGGGCAGACAACAGCAGCAACAGTAGCTGGGACTGCAGCATGCAAGTGCAAATGCAGGTCACGCACCGAACCTCCCCTTGCTTTCAAGCAACCAAAGAGACTGGAAGAGACTTGTCCGGGCAGCACTTCGGCCTCTGGCGCCAGCATGACCAAATGACTCCCTCCAGAACTTAATGCCTGGTCGGGATTTGAAAACTCCGGCTCTGTCAGTCATTCTGTGGCAAAGCCTGAGGCAGGAAGCCATCAGCAGTCTACCAGCATACGCATGCCAAGCTAGCGGTTTGACTCCGGAGGAGAAACGCCCAGTTTCCTGAAAATGAGATGCTGAAATTCAAAATTTGCCATAGATCTCAAAAGGAACCCGCAGCACATGCTGAGCATATGCCTCTGCAGCCCCATAACCAGGCTCTCCTCAGCATGCCTCTAATTAAGTCCTTTCTAACTTCATCACTTCTGCAGGCAATTAAAGGAGATTAGTCAAGAGTCTGCCTAATGAACAACAGATTATTGGTGGAAAGCTCAAAAGTATGGGCAGCCCCTCCTGACTGCAGGATGATGAAAAACACAACAACAAAAAAACAAAAACCACACTTATTTAAGGCACAGCTCTGAACTGCAAAACAGATTTCAGCAGATGTTTGATGGGAGGTGAAACTTTCCAGTGCATGCTTCATTTCCTGACGTTTATCAATCATACATCTCTGTGTGGCTACCTTTAATACTTTGAGCCTATGAGTGTGTGCATATGTCCCACACACACACTTTTTTAGGGGAAGGGAGGGGGGGGGAATAAAACATAAGTAAAAAAGATAAATAAATAAAATAAAAAGGCGATTTGTGTGTGGGATGTCATAAACATGTTATTTTTGTACTCCAAAGTACTCCCATCATGTTATTAAAATCTTTGGTTGAACCATCGTGTCATTCATATGTCCAATACAACCCCAAACACACGTGTCTCTGACATTACTACATTTTTCACACACAAAAAATTACGGTAGTTTCTTAACTTGTATCACAAACTACACAAATCTTTTATTTCCTACAGCCACCATAGGGGCTAGCTTTGTTTTAATTTATCGTCTAACCCTGCCGCCTTCTTCCCACATCACCGCGGCGACTTGAGTTTCAGTCACAGTCATTTCAGGTCGCCACAAGCAACTTTCATGTTTGCTCACATCCTCGCTTTTTCTTATTTAGCAGTTTAGTTTGACGTTCAAAATACATTCAGTTAAAAGAGGGGAAAAAAAGTCTGTAGACCTCACCTGCCCTTCCAGCTGCACTGGTCGCTTGAGTATTGGCAGAAAGAAATCCTAAAGAGAAGGAAAAGCGGCAGCAAGGAGGCCAGCATCGGGGTGAGCATGTTTATCTCGCCTCACTTAGCCTCCTCTTGAGTGAAACTACGATAAAGTCCACCGCCGTCTCTCCAGCTGCATAGCGTTTCCATGTGCCACGGTCCGCTCCGTGCGCTCCCCGGGGTTTCTTCTTTTATTCTCGAAAAGTTTAGGGGATTAAAAGCGCTTTCCCCTTCAAACACACACACACAGTCGCTCAGTAGCTCCGCGCAGCGCTGACAGCCCTCCGTTAAATGTGGAGTGAGTTCAGCTCCGAGTCTGCCTCAGCAGCCCTGATTGCGCTCTACGTCACACCCGAGCGCTCTGTGTGTGATGCGTTCAGGGGCCTCATCTCAGACTCCGATTTTAGACTTTCAAAATTTTGCGGGTTTGTGTCCTTCCAAATATTAAAGTTGGTTGAATTTTAGTACGTTACCTGTTGTAAATGCGCCATAATTAATGATATATGGTATATCAAATGATTGATCTTCAGCTGGCATAGCTGAAGAGGGGTTATTTGTGACAGAAGCATAGCAGCAAGAGTGAAAGGAGACCTGCTGTCATGTGTGGTTTGGAGACGGTGGCGCTTACAAGAAGTCAGGAGGCAAAGTTGGATGTGGATTTGGGATAGTTTGGACATAGTCATAGGAGGTTCGTGGATGTAGTGAAGGAGGATATGCAGAGGACTGTTGTGAGAGAGGAGAATGCTAAGAAAGGGCGAGATGGGGGCAGACGATTTGTTGTGGTGACCCCTCAAGGAAGCAGCTGAAAAAATAGCTATGCCACATTTAGATTCATAGAAGTTAATTACATCACCGGGAGATTTTTTTTAACGGGTTGGGTTGTAGTCAGTTGTCTAAACACAAATCATTTTCTCTGAGGGGAGACAATCCTATTCTGTGACTGAAAACACCAGAATGTTTTAAAGAACAAGTATATGGCTAATATCGAATTCTTGATATGATTGCTGATTGTAGTTAAGGTAACTTGCTTAAAACTGGTTAATATAATCATGTCAAACAATCCCCAATATCCCTGTTATTTTCTGCGAATGTTTTCTGGTTAGTTGCTCGACTCACATGAAAGTTCCGACAGCACTTGAAGGTTGCATAAAACTTGTGTAGAAACCACAGCAGCTCCGCAGTTGCAACACTTTGACATTCGTCGAATATTTCAACAGAATAAACTTTATTTATTTTTGTAAGAAATTAGTCTATGAGAGGTCTTTTATATCCCTCATATAAAGTGTTTTATAGTTCTGTGGGTGTCTGTCTCTATGAACAGAAATACTATTGTTTCCCGATGCTGGAGCCGCAAAGTTCCCTGTCAAATAATGAGATCTTAGTGCAATGAGGGTAAAGAGGAAAGAGGTAAGGAAGTAAAGTGGCAGGTATTTCTGGCAGTGTCCTTTCAAAGGAAAGGTGCATAGACTCAATTACCTAAAAGTGGTATGTTGGCAATACTGGCATGCTGGTGAAACTCTAGTATTATAATGGTTTAAAAAATCCCCATAGTCCCTCTTTGTAAGTCAAATTAAGTTTAGCCAGTTGCATTCTTGCCTTTAGCTTTGCCATATACTTTTATAGCAACCATCAATTGTACATTATACTGAGATCTGAGGGCTAAAAAAGGGCTGACTATCAGCTGTGGTTTCATGGTCTGGCTGGAGCTCTGCAGACATCTGCAAGTACTGGCCACATGAAGGAGTTAATTAATCAAAGTCAAGTACTGGTCAAGTAAAAACAAATTTGCATGTTTCTTTATGGGAAGTAATGATGGTATTATCCATTATGTCTGTTAATAATGTCACAGGGGCTCTGCGATTTAAATTTATCCTGTAATAGTTTTCTTTTCCCCCTCTTTCAAATGAGAGGGATTCTGGAAGGGGAGGGTGGGGAGACCATGGCAAAGACCTCACCACCACGTTTGTGTTCTTGGTGCCTTTTCAAACATCCATCCATTCATCAATCTTTTTCCATTTATTCAAGTAAGGGGGATTAGCTGAAGTTGCTGTTGCAGGGCTATCTTTTGAAACATTTTTATTTAAATTATCTGACAAATCATGTGACTTGCTGCGTGTTTAAAGTTTGTGCTTTGTAGCTACAGCCATCATTAATATAAAGTCTCAGGCCCCAGACAGCTGTCGGGGACTTCAGATCTATTTTGTCTGTTGATTTGTGACTTGTAACATCATAGTTTACACATAGCTCTGTTTGCGAGTACAACAAGAGGAACTTGACGATCTTTGGGGTCGGTTACAGCATCAGTAAACATAAACTTTTCATTGCTCTAGTAATGGATCCTACGCAACGACTTCTTATGAAAAAGTTGTTTTGTATCTGGAAGCCATTTGGCATGGGAAAGAAACCTGTCTGACAAGGAAAACCAGCGCAGTTTGTAACTGCTATATTTTTCCTTTCTGCTTTCTTGGGATTTTAAATTGGTTGTGGCTGCGGTGATGATTGACACATCTGCGTTTCTGACCTGACATGCAGGGTGCATGTCCCAGCTTGGGCAACTCAGAGTCCCCTGCAAACCTCAAGAGGATGTGCTGATAGGCGGTTAATAGGATGAGAGTGTAAAGTTGCTGTAACAATAAGGAAAACACAAATCCACAGCCTTGTTCCAGACATTGTGCAACTTTTTTTGTTTTGTTTGTGTAGTAAGGATAAGAAGCCTGGCTGGTGTGTGTGTGTGTGGGTGCGCGCGCGTGTGTATGATCTGCTTTTTTTGTTATCTTTGCCACTGCACTTCTCGATGAGGTAACAGAAACACAAGACGTGCCCAGGCAAGACATCTGAGGATCAATCATAATAGCACCTGCACTGATACATCACAGACACACAGTGTAATTACAAATAATGACCTTGTTTAAATTTAATTAGTGCGTTAAACCTAATTTGTACTAGTCTTTTAAGTATATGCCCTCACACTGAGTTATCACGTGCTACACGTTTCATTTAATGAGAAAGGAAGAGCTCTGCTGTGGTGAGTGTAACATCTATCCGTTTAGCAGTGTTGTGGTTATTACAGTCATTACGTTTGTGTTGTGTTTAAACTTTGGTTCTGGAGAATGTGTGATGTGGTTTCCAGTGTTTGTGCAGCAGAGATCAGTGCTAAGGTTTAGCTCGCAACAGACCCCCAGTGGTCCTGTAGTTGTAAGGTTTGTGGAGGTCAGAGATCCAAAAACGGGGATTTTTATCACCAGACTCCTGTCTCTCATATCTGTCTTTTTTATTTAAGTGAGACATTATGGCATTGCCACACATTATTAGGCGCAATTCATTAGTACTGGTTTGATAGCACAGATTTGACAAATTGCTGGAAACTTTCCTCAGATGGTCCATTTTGATATAACAGCGTCACACAGTTGCCCCAGATTTGATTCTACCACATCCCAAAGGTGCTCTCTTATAGAGCATCATACATTTGAGTCATTGTCATCCTAAAGAAACCAGTTTGAAATGATTCGAGCTTTGTGACATGGCTTGTTATCCTGCTGGAAGCTGCCATCTGATGATGCATACACTGTGGTCATATAGGGATGGACATTAGCAGCAGCAATACTCATGTAGTCTGTGGTGTTTAAACAATGCTCAGGCCCTTAACCGTTGATAAATGCAGGATTGATTTATCCTTTCTTGTAGTTTGTGCCAAATTCTGAATGTTGCAGCAGAAATCGACACTCATCAGACCAGGCACTGTTGTTCCAGTCTTCCCTGATCCAACTTTGGCGAGCTTGTGTGAATTGTGGCTTCAGTGTTCTGTTTTTTAGCTGACAGCAGTAGCACCCAGTGTGGTGTAGCCCGTCTGCTTCGAGGATCAATGTGTTCTGCATTCAGAAATGCTCTTCTGGACACCTTGGTTGTTACGAGTGGTTATTTGAGTTATTGCTCTCCTCTCTGTCATCAACAGGGCATTTTTAACCTAGAGAATTGCCCTTCACTGTATAGTTTCTCTTTTCTGGAGTATTCTCCGTAAACCCTATAGATGCTTGTGTCACAAAATACCAGCAGATCAACAGTTTGTGAAATGCCAGTCCATCTGGCACCAACAACTTAAATTACCTTATTTCCCCATTCTGATGTTTGAACGTCAGTCCCTCATCATAACCATGCTTAAATGCACTGAGTTCCTGTCATATGATTGGCTTATATTTCCACCCCACAAATATTTGAACAAGTGTGGTTAATGAGTAATTGTGCATGCTGGTTTCAGTTTACCAATAACAGGCCACTTTCAAAACTACATCATCATGTGTATGAGCATTTTCACAAATTTTATGTTTGAAACAATAAAATTATATGAAACTACAGCCATACCTACCTGGCAGTCAGGTTAGACTGACTAAGTGTTAAAGAAGGGATTTATCCTATTATTGCCTTCAGCTTGTTGTTGCAGTTGCTTGCTCTCTTGCTGCCAGTGTTTGTTATTTTCTCTTCGGCCACAGAATCAAGGAAGCAGGCTTAGCTCTCACTCTCCACCTGTCAGAAGTCTCAGTAGTGCTGGTGGTGTTGGGGGGAGGCAAATCATGAGTCTGAAAAACAAAAAAGCTAATCATACGGTGTGCTCTTACAGTTGTTTTTTAGACTGAAACTTGGCAGAGAAGCCCCGATGTTCAACAGAGAGGCACTGAAGTGGATCGTAAATTAAAGGATTAAGTGAGTTTGGTAAATATGTGTTATATAGCCTGGGAGCTAGAGAATCACTGGAGTTTCGGGAGTTAGTCGGGGGAGTTTTGTGGGGGAAGGGTTTGGTTTTTTTGTCAAGCCTGTTGTCCCAAACTCTTGCTGAACATGGCTTATTCCTTTAGGTAGCGTCCAGGTGAAAAAGCAGTCATAAAGTAGATTAGGCTGCTGACAGGATGTGATTTATATATGTGTGTGTGTGTCCTATTCAACTCTTAGTTTGTCTTTAATGGTTTCACTTTGGTAAAGCAAGAAATCAGACTTGTCTGCAATAAACTAACTCTCTAACAGTTGTTAAGAGAACCATTTTTTTTTAGTAAGTTTGGAGGATGATGAATAAACTTATTGTTCACTGTACTGCAAAAACTAAAACCTCCTAAACAGACCTATTGTTGTCTGTGGCATTTTCCTCTCTGGGTTTATTTATCTGAAGTTTGTCTGGAGTTCATTTTCAACAGACTTCCCCTGAGTGTTAAACCAGTTTGATGAACACACTGCTGCTCTTTTTCCAAGCTAGTCTCAACCTGTTTTATTGAGGCTACTATCTTAGCCAGACACATGGTAAACCGCAGTCACA